GAATTGATTGAAGGTGTTTTTGGTGTAAGAAATGTAGGGAGTATAGGTGTAATAATTTATGAAATGTAGGGAGTTTAGGGGTTTTTTTGGGGAGGGAATTGATGGAATGTATCGTGTTTAGGTTTTTTTTGGGAGCTTACAGATTGGACACACTTTCCCCATGGAATGAAATGGAATGGGGGAATCCCCGTGCGTCCCATCTGTAAGCTCTAGTACTACTGCTGTTTTTGGAAATAATTCGGAACTTTGAGGAAATTATTTTTGTAAAATGGAATTAGATAGGGCAACAGCCGACCTCAAGTAAATAGAGGCTGGTGTCAAATATAGATTCCGATATTTAGTATGAGTTATTTCGTGATGATTGGATAATTTTTCACCGAAATATCGTGTCTGACTTGACGTTTCACTCTATTAGCTATATTGGGCAACTCGTGCAGACTCTACAGGCTACAATTGAATGGGAAGCAAACAAAGACTTGTACTTACAATCAAAGCTATCAGTGGGCGTATGTTACCTTGCCTGGCAAGCTATATTTATATAGGCTGTAATATTTCAACAAAGCACATTTTAAGCTATTTCTAAGCCCAACTTTGTTTTGTCAAAAAGTTAAAAACTTAAGCCCTCCTTAAAAAAATGCAGAAGCCAAGCCCCGAGATTGTTAAGCTACGGGTATGATTAAAATGGTAATATCCCATCCGTATACATCTGAATAGCTAGGTTACCCCCTCCAAGAATGCACATAAAATATAAATTCTCTAACTTGGCCAAAATGAGTCTAAATTCATAGTGGACTTACCTGGTGCCTTAACAAAATAACATGCACCCTATTTATGAAAATAGATCCATTAAAGATAGGTTTCCTTATTTTCTAGTGCCAAATTAAGCAAACTATTTGATTAATTTGTGTTTCTAATGAGTTATCATGTATTCTTAATCATATCATTATGTTCTTATTGCATATAATTACGAGTTTTAACCAATCATAATTGTCAATGTATGTACCGTCTGGATAAACAAAAAAGAATTTTTGACCTTTCTTGATCTCTCTTCTAATTTAGCTAATTATGAATTGATTATGGACATGTGAGACAAACTGGTATTTTTCCAAGTCATTAAAACACATCTACTTTCTATTCATATAAGTATTACTATTTTCATTTTCATAAATGAAAATAAGGGAGCCCATCTTTAAACTAAGTAATTATTGAAAAACGCTTAAAAATATTAAGCATTTTTCAATATTTATCTTTTTTTCAATAATTACTGTTGTAGTTTTATTGATTTATCGGGTCATATGAGAGAATTCTGTTGTAAAGTTTTAACACTAGGTGAGTCCACTGATGAATAAACATAAATGTTTTGCTCATTTTTGGGAGTAAGGAACCTCATTAGCTTCCCAACATTTCACTAGTGAGTCAACCCACCACCCAAATTTCAGGTTAGTTCTGTTACGAAAAGTAAAGTAAAAAAATAATGATAACATGTTTTAATTAACATATTTTTTCTACTATGGTACATCTGTCATTTTCAGTTGTCGAACCATCAGGTAGTTCAGCCAGGGTAACGTTAAATAAAAAGCATTCATTGCTAATACCTGTCTTTAAGTTCAATGTTACACAGTCACTCCTCTCCTTACACTTTTCAATGCATTGATTTAGATCTAGATCATATGACACAAAGATGATCGGAGCTGTGTAAAAATTACAATTATTGCTTTCATATAATGAAGCGGTACACCCAGTAATAGAATTACAATCTTCATCACATTGGTCATCTTCAGTTGACGTGTAATCATCATAGTAAAAGAAACTCGGTGCTAAACATGTTTTATTCAAAAACTTGTAACATCCTGAAATACAAATTAAAGTATTACATAACATCTTACATAAATTCTTTGCCAAAATGAGTTTTGGGCTAGGATCATCTAAGGTCGATGTCAAAAAATGAAAATTTGCAAAACAAATGTCTCTCTCAAAACTTCAAGCTGTTAACACCAGGTACCCACTATCAAAATCACCAATATAATTTATCAAACAAAATAAAACTGGAGCAGTGAGTATCTGACCTGCTACATCGGTGAAAAATTGCATTTTAAAGTTATAATGAGATTTTTACTAGAAAAATGGCTTTGGCAGACAACCATTTTGTTCAGTAGTAAAGATGTATATATTTTATAATATCCTAAACCTACCATTACCCTAACTTCAGTAGTAAAAAGTTGTATATATTTTATAATATCCTAAACCTACCATTACCCTAACTTCAGTAGTAAAAAGATGTATATATTTTATAATATCCTAAACCTACCATTACCCTAACTTCAGTAGTAAAAAGATGTATATATTTTATAATATCCTAAACCTACCATTACCCTAACTTCAGTAGTAAAAAGATGTATACCCGTCAGTCCAATCAGGGAGCATTTAAAACTAAAATTATCACCAAATATTCTGGATTCTGTTACATCATTAGATTTCGGGGAAGGGAGGGTTGGATCCTTAATCGATCGCATTACCTCCCTTATCCCTATAAAGTCTTACTATTTCGCAATTTTAAAAGTTGAAACTGTTACCTGGACAAGCTTGTTGTTCTGTCCAAGTACCATTTACACCACACCTCAGAGTACCCGTCTCACCATTCTTAGTGGAGCCAACTGAACAGTTAAAACTAAAATCTTCACCAAATATTCTTGATTCTGTTACATCATCAGAGTTAGTGATATTCACACCTTGTGGACACTCTACAGCTGATAGTAAAATAAATGTATGAGACAACGACATAGGATTTTAAGCTAACAGCTAACAGTAAAACATAAATATAAATA